CTCGACGTCGGCGTTCAGGTCCCGAGTCCGTGTCCGTGTCGAGTTGAGTTCAGACGTTTGTCCTCGTCAACGCTGTGTGCAAAAATAGTTCAAAGCGAGCCATAGATACATTTTCCCAAAACACACACACACACACACACACATACACACACACACACACCGATTTCTGGTAAAAATACAGTACAAAAAAAAATAATATTCGAAATTAAACAACAACAACAAATTCGACGGTGCTTAAATTATAAAAAAATTATATAAAAATATGAAAAAAAACAATTGTGCTTCAATCTGGCGTTGGGCGAAAAAAAAGAGGCGTAGCTGCAAAAATCGAAGCCAACTTTATGCATATTTCTTGGTGTAGAGAGCGCGTCGTATGCGTGGCTTTTGGTGTGTGTGTGTGTGTGTGTGCGAGTGTGTGTAACGGCAAATACGTGTTTAGAAAGAAAGAATATTATATATATATATGTATATAAGTATATATGCATATACTATATATAGTCAAAATTCGTTATCAAAAAATAAGTTGCGCATTTTTTGCGAAACGGCACAAATTTAAACAAATAAAAGCAGCTGAATCATTTGCTCTGACACACACACGCACACACATCATTCTGGCCGTGTTTGCTTGACACACACACTCACACTCATACACACACACACGCACACACACACAAAGGCAGCACAACAAAAAAGCAAACCCTAAATAAATACTCAAAAGTGTAGGTAAAAAGGAGTCTGCTGCAACGCGCGCGTGTGTGTGTGCGCGAGTGTGTGTGCTTGTGTGTGTTTGTCTGTGTGTGAGTGTGTGTGTGTGTATAAACGTTTGTTTGCCTGTGGTTGGGCACTCTGCATAAGTTAGGAGCATCGCACCGCGACGTCAAAGTCGTCGACGGCGTCTTCGTGCGCGTCTCCAACGCTCGTTTTGGCAGCCGCCTTGCGGCACCCCTCGCCTATTCGCCCCTTGCCCCACCACCCCTTCGTTGCGCCCTGCTTTGCTAACTTGGCTTTGTTTTATTTTGAAGCAAATTGTTGGGTTGTTCGCTCGTTGATTAGCCTGATGAGGCAGCCGGCCCGCATATGCTTTTAATTGCCAAAAACGCGCAGACCCACATATCAAGGCACACACACACACAATCGCACACACATGCACACACACACATACAGCTGGTTTAGTGCTGCATATCTGTAGATAAACGAGGCATAAGCACAGCCGCTCATGATAATGATACTGGCCCCAAAGCTTAAGGGCTTAAAGTCTTAGCCAGCACCTCAACGCTGACAGCTGGGCGTAAGGAATATTTAAAGGCCCTTTTGAAAGCTGGCCAAAAATTGTTGGTATATTGCAAGTAATTTCGGTGCTGCCATTAAAAACTTTGCCAAAAAATACTGTGAGTTGTCTATAAAATCTGATTAAGTAATTTGCAAGTTGGTGACCATTAAATATGCAAAGAGTGGGCCAAAAGTAAAGCGCCTGCATATTTAACGAGTAAGTCGGAAGTGCGCGACTTGGAGATACCCTAAAATGAATCTGGAATCTGAATCTGCTTTCATATTACATACCAAAACGTTTTTATACCAAAGCCCAAAACTGTATGCTTTAATATATATCGTGAAGACTAGGGCGAGCCATCCGAGATGGGTTATCTGCTAGATTTATGTTTACTATATATATATACATTCTATACATACTATACATACTATACATACTATACATACTATACATACTATACATACTATACATACTATACATACTATACATACTATACATACTATACATACTATACATACTATACATACTATACATACTATACATACTATACATACTATACATACTATAAATACTATACATACTTAAGCCCTAGCATATGGCAATATCTCTAGCTCTTATAGTTCTCGAGATGGTCAGACTCATGCGGACAGCCAGACGGACGATAGACATACTCATCTTTTGATGCTGATCAAGCATATAAATGCCTGATAAGCTTAGAGATGGCTCCTTCTGCTTTCTTCTCCTTCTACCTACATTTGCACAAATCTCTTCTGCCCTTTATACCCTTTTTTAATGGGTTTGGGGTATAAGAACATCCCGTTTTGTAGCTCATCAAATATGTAAAACTCATTAATAACTCTTACAAAGACAAAGGCCCGTTTTAGCTGCAGCTTATATATAGAACAACTGATATTCATATCAAAATTAATTAATATAGCAGAAAACTCTTCATCCAGACTCTGTACAGTGCATTGTGTATGCTTACATACATGTGCATGTGCTTATGTAATTTATTTGGCAAAGGCAAAGGCTTAGCTCGCATGTTTTTTAACAAGTTGAACAACAGCAACAGCCATGGCAACAATGCACACACACTCACACACACATACAACAAAATAACAACAAAAACAACAACAATTTAGCGGCTGGCACCAAATTTAAATCCTTTGCCAGCAAATGCAATCAAAGCAACGAGGCAGGCAAAATTTTGAAAGCAAAAGCCACACACACACATATGTAATACAAGCACACACACACACAAAAGCAATTAACGAGATATGTGTAGGAGAATTTTGCAAAAACATAAAAAGCATATTACAATGCGTGGGCGAAAGGACGTGCCGCCGGAAGGAGCCAAAGCGGCATACAAATCAAATGCGCTTAGAAAAAAAAAAACAAAACAAATAAAAGCTAAAATTAAAAAAAAAAAAAGAATAACACACACACAACAATACAAAAGAAAAAGGCCTAACACACAACACACACACACACACACACACACACGCACACACACACACACACACAGAGCTAGCAGCTAGTGGCAGGAGCCAAGTAGCAAGCGTTTATGCTAAACAGAGTGTAACTGCCGGGGTTGCCACAGTTTGCCAGTGACATTTTCTGCAAAAGCCAAGTCCAAAAGGGAACAAAAACATGGCCCAAAGCGCACAGCACGGCTAAAGCGACAGACAGCAGCAAAGAGAGAGAGAGAGAGAGAGAGAGAGAGAGAGAGCGAGGCGAAACGAGCTTGCAGCCATAGCATACTTACAGGCGCTGCGCTCTCTCTTACTCTCGCTCTCTCTTTCTCTTGCATACAGGCTCAGGCTATTTTTGGCTTCATTGCGCTCTCTCGCTGCTCGCGCTAAGCTCTCGCGTTCACAGCCTGGCGCTGAACAACTGTCAACGGTTCTGGTCCCGTTGGCCAACACGGCCAAACGGCTTTCAAACGCGCAGCTGAGAAAATGTAACGGACGGCAAGCAGCAGGGCAGAAATAAAAATAAATATAAAAATAAAATAAAAAAAAACTAATATATCTAAGGAAGACGAAAGCTGAAGAAGTAGAAGAAGCAGAAGTGGCAAAAAACCAAACAAAATTACAAGTATACAAAAGAGCCTGCTCATAACTCTCTGTGTGTGCGTGTGTGTGTGTGTGTGTGTGCAAGCTTGTGTGCATGTGTGCTTTTATGTGTGTCAGTGTGCCTGCGTGCCTGTGTGTGAGTGCGTACTTATGTGTGTCAGTAGACTTTTACGCATATGCATAGATTTACTTCGAAACGTACGAAGCTGAACAAATTTGAATTTAAGCCAGCTGCGCCCCAACTAAGCCGTTATTTATATATATACATATATTTATATAATATATAAAATGCTTAATTAAAAATAATAAACTTGAAACAACTGAAAGTCCAGACATTCGAAAAAGTGAACTAAAATATAAAACAAAATTCGGAATATCAAAAAAAACTACAGACGAAAATTCATATGTAAAATACAACAAAATTTTTGGAATATATAAAAAATATTGAAACTAGAACTAAAATAACAATTTAAACGACAAAAAAATTAAATAAACAATATATCTTGTATCTTGGCAAAATAATAAAATTAAATTTAACAAAATTAAAATTAAATAAATAAATATTTATAAATATTAATTAAATAATGAAATAATATAAAAAAAACGTAAATTGGATAATAAACATACCTACATAAATTAAAAAAAAATTAAATAATACAAAATGGTCATAAAGCAATTATTTTGATTGGAGCTAATTTCTAAAAATGAGGTCTAAATAAAAAATTATAAGTCAATTAAGACGTTATAAAAACTAAATAACATAAACAATATAAATTATTAAATAAATAAATAAACAAATAGAAATTAATTAATTAATAAATAAAAAAAATATCAAAATTAATTATACAAATTGTATAAAATATGCAAGTTTAACTAATGTGTGCTTTTAATAAATAGTTAAAAAAAATACAAAAAAAAAAAAACTATTGAACAAAATGAAATAAAAAATATAGAAATGTTTCAATATTAATTCTAAAAATTTGCAGTGTTTATGAAGTAATATAAACTAAGAAAAAGAACACACAAAATTATTGGAACCAAAAATCGTAGTAACAATGTCAAAAGTTAAAGCCAAAGGCAAAACAAACAAACGAACAATTCCCAAACCAAACACATAAAATGAGACAAGTCGCCTGCAACAACAACAACAATAACAACATCAAGAGCAAAAACAACAACAATAGGCGCTGGTTACAGGTCGAGGACAATAAAGGCGCCGTGGTACAATAACAATAAGCAGGACATTAAACAGGCAATGGAATGGAGCGTCTATTTGGATGACGAACTGAAGGACCGTAAGCCAGGGATAAAGATGAACAGCATACCGAACAGAGTCTAGGCACGCATACGCAGCACATAAAATGTGCACACTGAACAAACGTAAAAGGCTCAATGACCACAGAGAAAAGTAATTAAAAGAATATAAAAAAAGCAGACAGACTTCAAGAAGAAGGCAAACAGAAAGTTAACGGATGAGCGCATCAAAACGGAGGTGGGCTAACAACAACAGCAACAACTTTGGAGCAGCAACTGGCAATTGATGTGGCCGAGGACAACAGCGCGCAGCAGAGCAACAACCGACACGAGAGCAACAGCGAGGCAGCAGCAGGAGCAGCAGCAGGAGGCAGTTGGAGCAGGAATAGGAACAGGAACAGTGGCTCATGCCAGTCTGGCCATACCGAGTCCAATTGAACTTGAATCTATATCGGATTCGGTTGTGTTGTGTCAGCTTCTGATGCTACTCGTGCTGGCATTGTTCTGGTTGAGCTACGCCTGGCCGCGCAGTCAAACGATCTCTCACTGGCAGCGCATGCATTGAGACACAACAAGCAGACAATTTGCAAAATTAAACACACACATAACACACACACACACACATACACACACATACACACTCACACGCATGCACTGATGTACTGACTGAATGCCTCGCTGCCTAAAACAACCAACTAACTCACTGACTGAGAGACTAGAGCGCCACAAGAGATAAGAGAAGTTAAGGAAGAAGCTAGCTAGAGCAGAAGACTCAACTCAACTGTACCAGAGGAAGCAGAAGAAGCTTTACTTAACTAATTACTGCAACTGTAACTAAAACATCAACTAAAACTTACTTTATAAACAACAACCAAAAAAAAAAATATAAAACAAAACCAACCTTTTTAATGCCACGCAACTAACTAAAGCAAACGATAACAACAACAACAAGATTTTTAACTAAGCAATAATACGCACCCACGACTAACAATAACAACCTTCCAAACTTTGTGACTTTGCCACGCACCACAACAACAACAACAACAACAACAAGAAAAGCAACAACAACTTGCACCACCATGAGTGTTTCAGCAATGGATAAATTAACTATACTGACGCCCCGCACCCGCACACCCCTGCTAACAATTTGGCTGGCCATTAACATGGCGCTAATCGTACAGGAGACGGGCCCCAAACGGAGCACCACAGTGCAATCTGCGTAAGTTTTGATTGAGCTAATTGATTGATTGCTTACTTAATATTTAGTTGTCGCACGAAAGATAGATTACGCTTGCAATCATGTTCAAACCGGCATTGAACTGATTCTAGTACATACTATTACAACTTGATTGATGAACTAGTTGATTGATTGAGCGATTGATGTAGAAAGTCAACATTTAACTGACGTATAAGATATTGATTATCCTCAAAATCTGGCATTAAAGTGAATTGTGGCTGCCGTAGGAGGAATTGACAAGGCTTAAAATCAGGTTTAAGCAATAAAAAGTTGATTGAACTCATTGAATGATTGATTGGTCTATTAATTGATGTAAAAACATCACATTAAGTTGACGCATAAGAGATTGATTATTAAGGCTCGCCCTGATTTTGTATTTGTTCTTGTATGTTAGTAGAACCTGATTGAACCAATTATTTGATTGATTGATCATATTTAGCTGTCGTATGAGAGATTAATTATGCTTAAAATCAGGCTCAGGCCACATTTGAATTGGATCTTGAACGAAGTTTTGCTATCAGCTGTAAGTCTTGATTGAACCAATTGACTGATTGATTGATTTATTAATTGATCTAACAGCTTCACTTGTAGTTGTCGCATTGGAGATTGATTATACGCCAAACCAGGTTCAAGTCTCTTTTGTACTAGTTCTAGAACAAAGTTATACTACAATAAGTGGAACTTGGTGAAACCAATTAGATGATTGACAGATTGATGCAAAAACTTCATATTTAACTGTTGCATGATGCATAGGTTTAGTTCAAAATCAGTCTCAAACCTCCTTTTTGTGCTACTTAAAACGGTGATTTACTGAAGAGGCAAATTTACGGTTAAAAATCATGCCAAAATATATAGATACCCCTACTAAACTTTAAATTTCCATAACTTTTCGATATCTTACCTTGGAAAGGTATTGCCCTCTGGGTTGCCAAAATTTATGAATATTGGCATGTCATATTTGTTCGACTTGTTTTGTATCATGTAGCCCACATTCCAATTATCATAACTTGTCCAAGTTTTGTCATATGTTAATCTTGGCTTTAAAAATATATGCATATGATTAATAAAGTCGCAAAAGAATCTTTCTGCTTATGCATTATGATGTATTATTAAAAAACGCTTGAGTTGAATATTTTAATAGAAATAAATTTATTGTTGCGGCACTTTGCTGCATTGCACAACTGCAGCGGCCCCTGTGTGTGTGTGTGTGTGTGTGTGTGTGTGTGGTGTGTGCCCCAATGGAGTCATAGTTCATGATAATTTATGATTATACAAAATAAGTTGACTGCAAAATGCGCAACGTGTAAAAGCTGAGCCTCGGAGCTGGTCAACTGGGCTAATTAGGCGCAATGACAGCTTGTTTCGAGCGGGTCAACAGTAAACTACTACAGTGAACACTAAAGCTGAGGACTACTTTTTTTTTTTTTTTAAATGAATGTGGGCAATTTATTAAGCTCGTCATCGTCACATTTGCATGTGGCGGCTATTAAAATGCGACGGACCTGAAAAATGACAACTGCCTGGCGCAGCGCTTGTAATTACCAACTAGTTGAAGGGCTGGCTGGGCAGATGGGTTGGGGTTGGCTTGGGCATTTGTTGAAAGTGTGTTCTGGTTGTTTGGTTTGGTTTTCGAAAGGTGCATGCGACATATTTGATTAGCGGCCCAAAAGAATTGTACACAATTTGTGGCATTTGGCAATGTTTTTCTTTGCCTTTTCGAGTTAACGCTCATTAGGCCATATTTAGGTGCAGCCCTGCAGGACGGCAACAGTGCTGGCAATTGTCGCTAAAAAAAAAAGTAGCTGCATTTATGCAGTGCTTGAAGTAGAGCGGAGCTCGAACTTACTCGAACGAGTTCGAGTTCGAGTTGCTTTAGTTGCAGACAGAAAAAAATTGAGTCTGTTGACTCGAACGAGAGCTCAGGTCAATCTTAAAAGTAAGCCGAAGCTGATGGAGCAAGCGAGCTCTAAGCTCGAATATTTTCGGTTATATTCAAGCTTATGGTACATACATGTCTTATCTTACATTGACACAACACCAGCCCGGTTAGATCGAACATGTTGCTGACTCGGGCAGCTTGAAAATGTTGCTAAGCAGCTCGAACTTTGTTTGTATGAACGGGTTGGGTGAAGAGTTTATTCGAACACTGTTTAGCCTGTCGGTTTTCAGCTAAGTCGATTGAGTATTCGAGTTTGATAAAATCAATCCAAGAATATTTAAAACCAACTCAAGCCTATTCTTTAGAAAGCTAAATATATTTCTAAATAGCTTAATAGAAACTTAATAATATAAGCCTGCATACCTCAACTAATTCTTTCGAACAAGCTCTGAATATAGCCAAATTTAGCTAGAAAACGGCTGAGTTCGCAGCACATACACAGACAAGATTTGCATAAGCCGCCCAAACAGGCAATTTAAGTAAATCAAAAGGTTTGAGGGCAAACTCCAGCGGCGGATAGGCGACTGCCACTAACTAGGAACTGAGACGTACAAATGCACGTTTATGGGCTTAGCTGATCGCGTGTGCTGCTACAAAACAACACGGGGTCAGAGGGCAAACAGGCGAATGGCGGCAGGCAAAGGCAAAGGCAAGAGGCAAATGTCGTGGAAATGTGGCAAGTGGCACGACTTTAGCACAGTTGGCTGCTTATTTGGGCCAGGCGGTGCGGCATTAGAGTTGAGTTTACGCCACTTTTTCATGCAACATTGCACAGGCGACACGGCCACACACACACACACACACACACACACACACACACACACACACACACACACACACACACACACACACACACACACAGATACCGTGCAGCCTTGCACACACACGCGCGCAGCTGCCGCTAAGAAAGGTTAAAGGCCAAAGCAACACAACGACACAATTTGCCCGCACAAAAGTCCAACGTCTGCTGCTCACTTTTAGACCCTTCAACTTCCTGCCTGCCTGGCTGCCTCCTGGAGGAGACTGGGCACATGGACTCGGACTCGGACACGGACTGGCACTGGTAGCTGCTGTTGCCTCTATCTCCCGCTGTGTGCCCCGTTGTGCAGCACTTGCCACACAAGTGCGCACTTCACTTGCAATTTATTGATGGCAGATAATGCCGAAGTGCCAGCGACAAAGCAACACCGCCCAGCTGACGACAGAAGCAGCAGCAGAAGCCTGTGTGTGTGTGTGTGTGGCAGGCTGCAGCATTCAGCAAAAAAAATAATAAAAAACTTAGTATCGAAGTTGCAATACCCTTCAAAGTAGCACACAGCTTCGACATATTTCTATTCCAGGCCGCAACAGCAAATATTACAAAAGTGTTGTGGAGTCTGAACCAGCAACCTTACGCTTGCTAGTCCGACCTTTTTTTTCCATGGCAGCTATATGATATAGAAGCTCGGTATGATTATTCGAATAAAAACTAATAAGCTGCAGATATACGAAAAGTGCAGTAGGGTATGAACCAGTGACCTCACGCTTGCTAGTTCGACTCGCAGGCTTCTGATGCCATATACATATATAAATTCAGTTTCATTAAGATAACAACCGTATATTCCTTATGATTGTCACCTGCTGAGCGTTACATATTCCATGCCAAAAGTGCGACTACCCTCAGGTAGGGTATAACGAAAATCATCGCTGGCTGGAGACGTTGGCAGCAGCTGCGACAACAGCTCGCCGTCGAGTGCCATTGAGCGTAAATTGTTGTTCCTTCACATTTTGAGGATGATTGAGAATATCCACAAAGGGGCTGCTTCCAAGCAAAAAGGGGGCCTTTTAGGGTCGCAGTTCAGCCAGCCGCTGCCATTTTCTATTCGCTTTTCAAATATTTAATAAAGCCCAGACACGGCAACTTCACAATCTATATATTTTTCTTTCATTTTTTTTTTTTTTTTTTTTTTGTGTGCCAGCCTTTTTCTCTGTTCAAATGTATCTCGTAATGCAATTCGACCAGCAACTATTTTTGCTAGCCTCGCTGCTATTTGCCCTAGCCTGGTTTTTTTTATAGTCTATCTCCCTCTCCCTCTCCCCCTCTCTCTCTCTCTCTCTCTCTCTCTCTGTGTGCTGTCTGTTGATGTTCATTTGGAAAATGTCAAGGACTTGTCAAAGTAATGCAATTTTTTATGCATTTTCCTCACTTTTAGCTGTCACATCAATTGAATTTCAAATTTGATTTTATCAAAGAACAAATCATTGTGAAGGCTGTAGAACGGGTTAGCCCATAAGGACATATAAGTAAGAGTATACAGATCTATATTGAAAAAAGTGTTTGTCCCGAGAGACTGACTGACTGACTGACTGACTGATTGACTGACTGACTGAGAGAGCAGAGCCCACACGCTTAGACTTTGGAAGCTGAAATATATATGAATGTTGCCTTTTGGGTTGAATGTGTGCACTCCGTCGGGTTTTTGTAAAATGCGACCTCACAATAAAGAAAACTGTGGTCAAAGTTTGAAGAAGCGTTGAACTAACAAGCATGAGGTCGCTTGAAAATAAAGCCTCTAACAACAATACTCAAAATGTTTCTTTGAAAACAGTTAAGGGTTCGAGCTCCCGCAAAGAATCTAATTTTTCAAAAAAAGTAAAGCTTATCTTAATATAAAACTAGAATGCAAACTTGTTAGCCATGCATCAGTATGCCATATTGGAAGTCTTTTATTGATATAACTAAGCAATACTCATCATAAACTCTCTATAAAGCATACTATATTTAGAAGACTTTTCTACTATATATAGAAAAAGTTTATTGTGTCCCACGAGTCTAATTGAGCCAAATATAGCAATTGGTTTAATTGACCTTTGATTACTTATAATAAGCTGTCCGGCTTGAGGTTTATGTTAGTTATTTGTTATTTAAATATAAGTAACAGCAAGGTAATAACTCCTCAAACTGAGCAGGTTGTTGGCAAACTGAACAACAGAAGGTTTGCAAACGCCTTGTTGTCCCCCTTTCGAAGCCTTAACTTGTTGAGAATTACAAAAGTTAAGCAAT